ACACGTTGAGAGTCGGAGGAAAACTTGCTAACTGACGTCTCCCGGTCGAGAGGTCCTCGTATTTATTGGGGAGAACGTATTGAAATTGGTAAGGGAAAGTCCTTGGGAAGGGCGAAGGCCTTTCCCGAAGATTTTCCGACCGGGGTGATCCGGGACCTATAGTCCGAAGCTGTGTCCCAACGTTTTTATTGTTTTATTGCGGTGTGTACGCCTTGCGTCGGGAAAACTCGAAAAAGGCATATGCACACCCCGCTTTTGAAGGACGTGTCTTTTTATGTCTGGTCCGCCACAATATAATAAATATTATAATTATTATTATATAATAAATATAATAAATATTATTATATTATTATATATAATATAAATTATATAATATATGAATAATATAAATTATAACCGACGGGTTATAAAACAAATATACAACAAATATACAAACAAATATAAAATAAATATACAAAATGACGGGTTCCGTCGGTTATCGGAACCCTTATTCAACTCGCAATATCTTTGTCGCTTTAAAGAAATTCGCGTTGTAGGAACTCGCATTACACGAGAGTCTATCGGATATTGATAACAGAAGAATGAAATTTTGTTTCGATTTAAAAAAGTAATTAATAACATTCATATTTCTTAGATATGAAAGATATTTCTTCGTATACATCTTAGGAGGGGTTAATGAAATGTTTCCATTTCGGGCAAGCGATGTTTTCGTTCCATGCTCGTAAACTTTTCGACTGTATCCGTTACACGTATCTGTTTTTATTACAGTACGCCCAGGAAACGCAGCACGAGAAGATCCTCCGTGGATTGGCCGTCGGCATCGCGTTCACCATGTACGGCCGTCTCGAGGAAGCCGACCCTCTGCTGACCTCCCTCTGCGCCGATAAAGATCCGATACTTCGCCGGAGCGGCATGTACACCCTTGCGATGGCCTATTGCGGCACTGGAAACAATCAGGCCATCCGGAAGCTGCTGCACGTTGCTGTGAGTGCTCATCGTCAATTTTATGCCGTGCCGCAGCCAGTAGTTTCACTCCCCCGCGCCGGAATTACGAGGATTCTACAGCGACGCGAGCAGAACTACTCTTCGACAACTCGCGACACGATAGCTGTGTCTGTTCTGCTCGCGGAACAAGACACGCGAGACTCTATTCTCGAGTGGATAGAGACGTGCACGCAGTTTGAGAGCTGTCGCTCGTGCACCTTCGAGATCTAGTCTCCTAAATCTGAAGGGGGTTCACGCTTTTGATGTCAGTCTTCGACAGTTCGCACTCTAGCAAATGCTACGGTGGAACCACGATTATCCGGGCTAAGCAGAGCGAGATTGGATAATGGAACAGTCACTCAATTACCAGATTCCGTCTTTATTAATTGGGCGGGTTAGAATCGTAGCGCCATAAGTCGCATTTTTGCTCGTTCCAAGAAACAAGGGGTGGTATTTTTTCTGACGTGTATATTGTTCACTAAACAAAATTGTTAGGATAATTTAAAAGTTACATTAGTGTAAGGTAATTTTATAATATAATATACCATACCATATTATCATTATCTATCAATGGAATGTAGATCAGCAAAATATGTAACTATTAATGCAAACGTCAATGTCGAGTCTGGATCGACATAGAACTTCAAAGGTTTAATACTAGAACAGACGCTTGAGTTTTATGGTAGAAGTTATACAAATATTAACGTGAATAACTTTGTTAACTAACTTCTCTGTTCAAGTAGATATTTTAATAGAAGTTGTGTAAAATATAGATAAAATCAATTTTGTCGATATCTGAAAGCAACGTGTGTCAGTCACGTTTAGTACTTGGTAGTTATAGCGTTAATAATGATTTATGTCAAGCAGATGGAAACCAGAACTGTAGTAAAAACGTCAGAAGAATTTACGTTCGCGAGCATCTTAAAGTCCAGGCTATTTGCAAGGTCGTTACAATTGTTCGAAGAAGAATTTACAATTGTATTTTTTTTTTGCAATTGTTGCAGACAATTTTTATCTTCCATGAGGATCCACGGTCTAGTTTTTACATATGTTTATCCTCGATTTCGTTCATCGTCTTCTGTCGAAGTTGCAAAACTAGCGCTTATCTATTTCGACACTGTTTGCTAATGCCAAAATGGAGCACGCCCTGCGAAAGGAAAAGCTGTCTATCCGCTACGAATGCAATCGTAGGATTATGGAGATCTTGTTCAAGCAGATAACGCAAATTGAAACAGCAAATTTGCGTACAATCCTCTAGACCGAGTTTGTTTGTTCATAATTTGTGAACGTTCTTCCGGTTCGGTAACCATACACGCACGTGACCTTCGTTCGAGATCGATGTCGCAGATTGCTACGCGTTATCGAATTCTTGTACGAGATTAAGCTCTGAGGAAATTAATGCCCACGGAGATAACGTGACAATGATTACAATAGTTTGCACACTTACGAAATGAAAACAAAGGGAAATTGATGGCCACTCGAGATTCGTATGACGATACAGTTGTTCAGAGAATACTAGAGTCTTAATACATGCTCAGCTACGGTATAGGGACAGATATTTGATGAGCAAATATTTCTAACAATATTCCTTGTCAATTCGTGCAATGGTCCGTGTTTACAGATTTTGTTTTCGTTAATACAACAGTAGTAGCAGAATTTATTTACCGATTTCCCAATTACAAGAGTTCCTTCACTGTATTTTCTTATTTCTTAGAAATAATAAATTTGGATACCATGGTATGGTAATAAGAATTAATTAGTAACATTTCTTGTTCGATGATAACAATAAAACAAGGATACAGTAACTTAGATTTCATTATTTTCAATTTAAAAAATATTTAATATCTACTGTTCTTTTCAATAATAATTCAAAAGTATCATCAAGCATTATCAAAGTGTTGTCGTTGAAGTTACGTTTGCGAATGTTAATAACAATCCTCTATATCGGATAGAAAAAAGAAAATTGAACGTAGGCTCATAATCTCAAATATTATTGAGAAGGTAAATACAGCGAAACATCTAAATTAAAGATAGTTACGTAGAAAGGGTTAACATAAAATGAAATTGAACTAAACGAATTTTATTTAAAGAGCAAAGTAGTTACAATTCGTATCGATGAGAATTTAATTTTAGCAGTACCTTTGGTTGATTTGATGCCAGTCTACAAGATTACGGCAAGCTCAGTGTGTAGACACATGTGGGCTTCTAAAAATAGATAAGATTAGTATAAGGTCATGGAACAACGATCGAAGTGGTTCATTATCTTTGTACTAATGCGAATGAATTTTCGTGTAGGTTTCGGATGTGAACGATGACGTCAGGCGAGCTGCGGTCACTGGACTAGGATTCCTGTTGTTCAGGTGAGTACCATTAGAGAATACTATTCGAGTGCACGAGGTCGATGTATCTCTGGGGAATGCGAGTTCTTTTGTGGGCGAATATCGGTGCTCAGAAATTCCAGAAATCATTGGTCCAGCATTGTGATACATTTAAAAATTGCGCATATTCGGATCGCATATTCCGTGAAAATTAAAACGATAACAATTAATTTTTCTTAATATGCACGTTCACACGCCCATTGCAAATCTACATGTAAACGCATAAAGTCCCGCAGTTTATCAATAACGAAACTGAATAATGCACGTTTCGGTCGAGAATATTTGTCACCGTAAAGTGTTGATATCAAGCATTTGTTTTCGAACTTAAATTTAAAACATTTACCACGTGAATCGTGGTTGTAAAATCGTTGTAAAAAAAAAGAAAACGTATGCACGCTCCTTCGTTTCGCGTCTGTCTGTATATTTACGGTTTTGATCCCATCAAAGCCCGATACTTGCAAATGAACCTCGCCTCTGTTCCCGGAAACACCGCGGAAAAATGTCAAGTGAAGAAGCTGCGAACTTTTCGTATTTATATGTTAATTTCTACGAGAAGCATTCCGCGGTGTCTATTTATAATTTATTGCTGGCGTCTATCCCTTTCTGATCCTACAGAACGAAAGAGGATGAGCGAAGTCTGTTTTACTGTCGCTCGAAAATTCCGTGTCCCGGTGTTAAGAATACCAGCTCGCAAAAATATGAAAAGTTCCCGCGGAAAAAATAAAAACGTTCTCCCGTCTTAAAATCTTTGCGAGCGAGAAAAATTACATTTCTCGCCTTGAACAATGCATTCGGCGAATTAAAGAGAGAGAGAGAGAATGGAACTGTGTCAAATCCCGTGAAATTTTGCATCCGACAATTTCGAAAATACGATACAACTAATTTCGTTGTTAATTAAACAACTTAAACAACTTAAATCTTACAGGCTAATTACAGGTCAATTAAACAGGCTATCGATGGATTTATAATCATTTTAATACGTTACGAATGCAGATACCTTCGAAGTATATTTTTTAAAAGCTATTCATATAATATTTAGTAACACCACTTTCTTTTTTATTATTACCAATGTTTTTATTATATGCGCGTGATTTATGAAAATCGAGCATGCGATTTAAGAACAGACACATCGCGTGACCAGACAGCGGATTTTTATGCAAAATAAAAATGATTTTCGTCAATTGCGCAATGTATTTCGTTTCTCTAATATTTTTAATAAGTTCAAATTAATTACTTCCGTTTGCCATAGATGCATAAAATCCGCAGTCTAATCGTGACAAATGATCATGATCTCATTAATCAATTTGCGCAAATGGATAAGCAAGCCCCTTTTGTTTACAAAATCAATTCGTTTCACAATCTTCGGCTAATCTTACCGTCGAAGGAGATTTAAAGATTCGATCGCTTAGGCTGCCGCTCAGTTTCATTCGAATGCGCACTTAACTGCGGATTTAAATAGTGATTGCGGAATAGTGTGCGTAAAATGAGCGTATCCCGTTCGTTAGTTTCGTTCCGTGTTTCGTTTAACGAATTTAATTGGTTTTTCGAATCAGCGAATCGTGAAATTCACTTTTAAATGTGTCAGTTCAATCGTCTACAATTTCCTAGACAATTAATTGGCTATCGAAACCGTTTCGAATATACATTTCCACGGGATTGTTAAACGTTGATCCAAAAAGATCCAACCGTATCCTCTGGATATTAAACGTTCCACTTTGTGATTTTTCGATAGCAAAGTTATCATCATAATCACCGTATTAGCGATACCTACCACAATATTACATCGCATATTTTCCATCGGAATCCAATAATGCTTTTGCATGTCGGAATCCAATAATTATTTGGAATTAATTTATTGGAGAACTTCGATGACCTGAAATCTTTCCAACAATGTTCAAGGGTTACATATCGCGCGGAAAGTATTCAATTGCATCCAAATGATTCTTCATAAATGCCCACGTAGATCGCTTTGATCCTTTTGATCCACCAATCTGTTCGAGAAAATTCGCTAATTAGTAGCTTATTTTTACGGTCAAATTTTTGTGCAAGAACGTTCGAAATAATGTATCACGATGCATTTTATTCGAGTCACGAATTTCTGTAGTGCGTTTTTATATCGTTCGTTTCACTTCTACGTTTCAAAATAAATTTGGATGAAATTAATTTTAGTATAGTTCGAAGATGAAAATAATGAAAGCATTTATATGAAAACAAGCTTCGCACTTTTTTGCACGACTAAATCATTCTCAGAAGCTGATTAGTGTAAGTCCATTAACTTTAAAATTGAGATAAATATGAATTTTGCAAATTAGCTGTAAAAAAAGCTTTTAAAAAATAATAATACAAAGCACAATTTTTATCGTATGATAAGGTACGAATGAACTTAACCAGAAGAGAAACAAAAGAAAAATGCCAGTGTTTTTTTAGAAAAGAAATTCTCTCTGAATAATTTGGTTAATTATTCCGAATTTTGTTAATTATTCAATATAAGTGCTGCCATCTATTGCTTATCCATCAAGAAATCGATTATGTTGATTTATCGACCGAAAAATCCTATGATAAAGATATGTGCATTACGTAATTCGTTTTTATGGACTTACACTGGTTGGCTTCTGAATCGTCAATGTATTTTTCACAAGGAAAGTCAAATATTAATTCAATTCTCCAACGGTGTTTGGACTGCTAATTTTATGTATTAATGCAAAAATGAATGGATCAAATGCAAAACAGTGAAAAGATAGGAAGAATTCAAAGATATTGATGTACCATTTTCGATTTCCTATAATTATTGAAAAGAGGAAACCAATTTCATTTAGCTTGCCTTGCTCACACTTGACGATATTTATTTTGCTTTTACAATTAGATTCGCAGTCCAGTTATCACCTTATAGCAATCGAATTCGACAGAAAAATGTTTACTTTCTCTTGCATGCTCCAATTATTATATCCTTTCGAATAATATGCTAATTCGACGAGTATATTCGTCGTAACACAAAATATCGCCATTTCTTCGTGATATTCTACATAAAATTATATATTTGATAAAATTAAAATAATTATATATTTTACTGAAACAAAATATTGAGAAAATAAAATGTACACGATAACTTGCACACTTTTCAAATAGATCACAGAGACATTGTTAAAAAAGTAATTGCGAAGGCGTAATTGTCAAAGATGTGCTCGTGTTCTTTGACTTGGAACACCGTAAGAGAATCATGACCACAAAAGTGTAAACGTGGTTCCCAAAAGCGACCGAACCAAATTGTTTGCAAACTGTGTACAGTGGATAGCAACGCTAGATCCTCGAGTTGGCGAGCTCGGATCCTTAATGCGAATCGAAACAGACACCCAAACTGTCGCGAGCAAACAGAGAAGTTCGCTGCCATAAATTGTCGCCAAGCATTTCCGGGCGCTGTCCCAGGTCTCTTTTTCAAATCCGGTGACCGGGAAACTTCCTGAATTTCCGTCGTTGTAGGACAAACGTTTTACCATCGTCCGGTTACGGCGCGGCGCGCAAAGGCGCAAGGAACTTTTTTAATATGTCGGGTCCTATTGCGCGGCCCCGCGAATTTGATCGACAATCGGCATCTCGGGGGGGTCGCGGCCGAGCGCGCCCCGGAGCATCGCTCGAGAGGTCGATAGTTTTCATCTCTCAGAATTTGACGGATTGAAGGTTCCTTTCATTTCGCCGTTCGCTCGCCCGATAGCCGCCCTGCGCCGGGATCCACGTTCTTGTTCCGCGATTTCACGGCGCAGTTTTCGCGGTCGAGAGCGTCCGCGTTAATCTGCGCCGACGTTTTTCTATTAAACAGAGGACGGTCGAAGATCGATCCCGGCGATTGAGGCCCTTCTCGCAAAGGACGACCGATTCGATCATCTGCTCCGTGATTTTGAGGGCGACGTTTTTGGAGCGGTTGTTCATTTTAATATAAATGGTAAACTTCATAAACATGTTTGCGACTAGTCTGTGGATTTGATGTATTTATAACAAAACTGAGTCAACAATAAAAACACTTAATTATTTTAGAGATAGATTGCATTATTTGTAACTCGATAAAATAATTGAAGAAAGGAAGGAAAGAACGTCTGAGTAGTTCCTGCATCTTTTCTTTCTTTCTTTAATTGTTTTATAATTCAATCATAATTATCTTAATTAATTTTATAATTATATCAAAATTGTTAGGAGAAGAAATAAATGTCTGTATTGCTTCAAATAATGCAACAGTATTTTCAAATCGTCAAGACATACCATATTGTCTGTCCAATATGTCAAGGTCATGTCAAGGTCACCATATGAAATTTTTAAGCAAGGTGTGCAGTGAAGATTAACAAAGTACGTAGATGATATTTTAATTTAAATAATTCCATGTCCGAACACAGTTCAACGAATGATTCACAATGCTAATTTAATAAATATTAATCGTGTTAAAGGAGGTATGGGATATGTTTGTTAGAGAAATATAAAGTTGACCTTGTCATGACTTTCACATGACCTTGGCATAACCTTGACATGACCTTCACAAGACCTTCACATGACCTTGATATAACCTTGACATGTCAAGGTCATGTGAAGGTTATATCAAGGTCATGTGAAGGTTATATCAAGGTCATGTCAAGGTCATATGAAGGTCATGTCAAGGTTATTTCAAGGTCATGTCAAGGTTATTTCAAGGTTATGTCAAGGTCAACATATGAAATATTTAAGCAAGGTGTACAGTGAAGATTAAGTCAAGGTTATTCACTGTACACCTTGCTTAAAAATTTCAAATGTTACACACAATGTGTCATGCACACTAGAAAATTAAAACGGCCGTCACAGTTAAATTACTTACTATTTCGGGTCCGAAAAATTAGTAAATATTCTTCAGACGTCCTAAAGTAAAGGTGAACTGCGTTTTTCTTAAGAATATCACTGTTACGTATAGTAAAAAAAATTCGGATAGTTCTCGCTTCGTGATTTGTTCGATATTTCGAACGCGG